CGTAAAATTTTGCCAGCTCTGAAAGACATGAACATGACTAACACGTACGAAATCCTACTACAGGCCGACAACCTAGAAACAGCCACTGCCCATTAAAATCGACTTCTCAACCTTTACACAACCTACCCGAAAGATAGCGCTGATCATATCTTCTCGGATCGAAATCCCTGAACAGATTTATGGTGAATGACAATAACTAGTCACAAGATAATTAACTAACAACGTTCGAATGACCTTGCAAAAATATCCGAAAAGAAAGGACACCAGGGCATTAAGGAAAATGCACCAGACTTTGAACGATTTTGAGCAACTTTTATCACTCAGCTAGAGGATGTGCAATGAAGATTTTCAAGCGGAGCTGGAAAAAACCTCAGTACAACAACCATCGCCACTGCAATAACGTACTGAAAGAACATACTCTTCCGCGCAGAATCGAAGAAAATTCTGGATAGCCACGAAGTTGGTCGCTGAAGACTTTAAGGCAGCCTTGAAAATGTAATATTGACCACGGAGAATCCCACTTCACCTCCCGAATGCCATATGCATTCTTGACGGCCTCAACAATGCTTTCCGATTCGGCGCAGGCGGAACGGTATAATTTTCTCTGCTTCAACGCTTCTGATGCTAGTTTCTTCACCCAGCCTTCAGGACCGAGTTCCGAACTCTTATAAATGCCGCTTCTTTCAGTAGAAACTCTGAACCGGCTACAAAAGAAACTTTCTGCAAACAGCAACAAGAGTAAACGACAACAGCAAATTTCAAAGTAATCAGGAACATCAGCAAATAAACACCTTTCCGTTAATGAAACTTAATGCAAACTATGTGATAAAGTACAAACTAAACTAAACTTAACCACACGCAAACTGATTTTTATTTTTTGCCGTATATGTGCCAAAACGCTATGAATTTTTAAATTCAGCGGCTGGGGCATAATTTAATTAAAGGGAATAAGGCAATTAATAAAAAACCCTTAGGGCATCATTAGTACCAAAATTAGCAAAACGCAGCAATAAATTAACAAATACTACAGAAATAAATTAAGACAGAATATAAAGTATAAGGGTAATTACACAAAAATTTTACTTATAAGGTTAACGTTTCCAATTATATTCAGGCCGTCTTGCGATAAACAATACAATAGGCATTGCGAACTGTTATGCCAATTCAATTAAACCGATATGATTGATGATACTACGCCTATTATTAGTTAGTTTCAAAATATAATATTCTGCTTTCGACCCATGCGTCGCTGATATCTAATTCAGTGATGCCGCTGCCGTAACCTCATACAAGAATTAAGTAACGCCTGTTGGATCTTGCAAGGGTGAGAAATATTGTTGTTATCGGTCGATACAGTCGTTTAATTCATATAAAAGGCGTACTAGTTAATTGCAGTGTTGGACAAAAACTGAATATTTTGTGCATTCAACATCTCCACAACTTCGGGATCTTTCTTTTCTTCCCATTCGCTGAAGAAAATCAAACATGGTGGAAGGAGAATGATAGGAAATGTTCAAGCACTTTTTCATAAAATATGGATAGTACAGATTAATCGAGAGAATGGAAACGAAAGATCATTGTCCAAAAATTGAAACGGGGAAGGCGATCAACTGCTGCTGTAACAGTTGCATTATCAAGATTAAGCCAATTTAAGGTAAACTAGCGCTATTCTTCTGGACCAGTCTGGAAAGGCTAATAGAAGCAGTTTATGGGAGCCTCTGCTCAAATTAGGCAGGCCTCCATAAGGGATGCTGCAGCTGTGATAAAATTTACACTCTTCACATAATCATTAAGCAATGTTAGCGACACTGGACTAAACTGACATACAACTTCCATCGTCCGGAATTCTAACGACGTGGAATAACTTAAAATGTTATAGAATGGCTTAGCAAATGGCTCCCATTTAGGAAGAGGCGCAGCAGCAACCACATCAACCATTAAGGTCGATAGAGAGCCATCTGAATGAATCCCTGTTAATTGTGGAAGTGCCGGCGGGAGCCCATTTGCGTATGCTGTTAAGTAATCATCCTCGAACGATAGCAACACGGTTAGGTGTCAGGGTGAGCAACAGGGTAACTGACCATACCTAGATGCCCGGTAACTGAAACTTCACGGCTGACTTGAAATGACATTGACTGGCGATAGCTCTTCCTCGTGCATTCAAAAATAAACTGCGACTGTTGATGTTGAATGGAGGGAAACTGGCCTCCTAAATTACCTGGAGAAACTGAACCAGGCAGTTAACGACAGACTTCGCTCAAATCAATCAAGCTTTCGGATGGCGTACTTCCGCTCTAATAAGATATTCACTATACTAAAAATCATTTAGCAAAGCTGGCAATTCCGGTCATCGTACCACTCTTCTCGACTTTAAAACCGCATTTAATTCAGTATATCGTAAAACAAACTGCCAAATCTTAAAATGCTATGGGATAGCACATCATTTGTATTTTGAAAGAGATGTATACAGGAATCACGCTGTTGTCAATATTTGGGAAATATCTGAGTGGTTCTCTATTCACTGTGGAATATTCACCATGATCATGTGATTTCGCCTATGCTATTCCATAACGTTCTTGACCCCCTTCTCTGAAATATTGCGGGCACAGGGAAAGACGAAGGTCTCATTCTAGAGGGAAAGTACAGTTCAAGGTATCCGCTAGACATCTTGCCGGCCAGGAGTATACTGTCTTGTAGAAAGCAGACTCCGCTGCCTGATGGATGCAACAAAACAAAACCCTCCTCTTTCTTCACGGTCAATAACTAAGTTATACGGCATAACATAATCGCAAGTGCAATAGAGGTGAAGTGGAATGGTAAGTGGGCCAGCTAAGTACCTTAGTAACATCATCTTCAACGATGGCACCATAAAATCAAAATCAAATAGGACACTTTTGCCCTTCGTAACCTGCCAATATTTGGTTGAAAACAAATTATTCCCTTGCACAAAAATCTCCCCATATCTTGCCTGTTAGGTCAGTGTTGCTGTACAACATGAAGATAGTCGTTTTAACAGTGACCAAGTAAAATGGTTAGACAAAGTACAATAGCTGCTGGTTTCGACAGACATGAAGTTGAAATGGCAAGACTATACAAGTAATAGGTCCATTCTCTTCCTGGGACATGCATTCTCAGTAGATGTTGATATTTATAAAACAAGGTTCGCCCCGTCAGACGAACGACTTCACCATAAACAAATAACTCTGGATTGTTTCTTACGCGAAAACGGCAACGCGATCAAGAGGCATACAACACTAATGAACAAGACAAAAGCATATCT